TAGTTTCTGGCCTCAAAAAAAGTATCACGATATAAGAAATATATTTATTTTAGAAAAAGAAAAGAGAAATAAGAGAAAAGGAAGGGGTGAGTGATATACATAAACATAAATTAAGAGAAAATAAGAGAAAAAGGAGGACTGAGTGAATACATAATTTAAGTTTTTACCTTAACTTGAGATTGCTTGTTTATACTTACTTATCCAATATATATATATATATATANAGTTTTTTGTAGGTCTAATGGGAAAGCGATTTTGGATTGTTGATCTGTTCCGGAAGAGGTAATATCATGGTTGACCTGCACTTGAGGAAATTAGGATATAGTTGGGTTTATTTTTAACGTGTTTTAAATGTTGGGGGAAGAAACGCGTCGATGCAAGGTGACGAGTATATACATTGTCATGGGTTAAAGCATGCGGGAAGAACGAGTTTATTTCATGCCTTTACTTATTTCATATATTTACTTATTACCTGCCTTTGCTTGTTTCGGGCCTTTACTTGTTACATGTCTTTACTTGTTTCATGCATGTACTTAATAATGTCTTTACTTGTCACATGTCTTTACTTACTTTATGCATTTACTCTCTTCAATTCTTATTCTCCTATGCTATGTTAGATTGTGTGACTACTTGATTGTTCACGTATTAATTACTTGTCACGGTCCTTGTTGGGATATATGTGTGAGGCTAGTTCTTGGATATTAGATTGTCTATCACACTTTATTTTTGTTCATTGTTCCATGGTGGATTATGCATATTCTTCCTCTTTTAAGTTATAATATGAATTTTACCATGATTGGTTGCTTGTTGGGTATTTCCATATGAATTGGTATGTTGGATTAAGTTGCCGCTGCAATATTGTTATGATAGGACGGGTTGCTCGCCGCAACAATATGACCATGAGGATCGGGTCACTGCCATAATATATTTTGTGTTGGATCAGGTTGCGCGCCACACTATATATATATATATATATATATATATATATATATATATATATATATATATGAATTTAGATTTTCTTTTTTCTTTTTTCATGGCGAATTTAATTGGACCTCGATGATTCAATAAAATGAGATTGTTTGCTGGTGAGTTCCAATATTAATAACATATGAAGGTCAGTGCAACGCTTGACATATTTGTTTAGAAAGTCACTTATGAATTGAATTTGGGTGTAATTATATTTTTGACATATTTGTTTGACCAAGTAATTAATTGGTCAATATGGAATTGAGTGTAATTGGAGAGCTATAATTATACTCTTCAATTCTCAAGCCGCAGGTGAGAATTGGTGGTAATTACACAGTTGTAATTACTAGGTTATTTTTTAATTTCTTCCCTTTTTGTTTTTATTTTCTTTATAACTTTTTATTCCCATTATTTTTATCTTTTTATTTTAATTTTTTAATTTTTAATTTTTATTTTTACTTTTAAATTTTCTTTTTTAATTTTACAATATATTTTTCTTTGTACATTATTTTTACTTCTTGTGAATTCATATAATTGCTCGAATAGTTTACTTCTTATTTGTTTTATTTTTTCATTTTGCATAATTGCATTATTATTTTAGTTTTTTAAACTACGCCTCCTAATATTAGAAATAATGAGTCATCAATAAACTTGGCATACAATGAGTGATGTTATTAAAGTAGAATTTCATTGTTGAATGATGTTATAAACTTATCATGTTTCCTAATCTTAAGTTCTATTGGAACTTATTTTTATTATGTTGAAATTTAACATATGCTAAACTATTTTTTTAGATGTTGAAATTGTATTATATTTTGGTATTTCACATTGCATCTTGTTCATTTTTTAGTTAGAATTGATAAATTAGTTTTGTCAAACATTTGAATAATATTATGACATTATATTTATAAATATTAGTGATTTATTTCAAACACGCATTGCATGACATTTTTACAAAAAGTATGTTTTTAGTTTTTATAATTAATTAAACTAAATATTATTAATTTGAAAAATATATATCAATTATTTTTACAATATTAGTTATAGATATATGATTACTAATTAATGTATATCTAAGAAAAATTATGCATCTTAAATACCAAATCTAATATCATTTATACTTATAAAAAATTATTTAAAGGCATATATTTATTATATTAACTTTTAAGTTTTGATAAATATTTCATTTAAATTTAATCTAACTGTATAATTACATTTGTGCAACCAAGCAGTATGCTTGTAATTACGTTATGACAAACAAACATGTCGTCGTAATTACTACATTGTATAATTACTTGATTGTGTAATTACTACCCTAGTAATTAACCAACTTTAATTATCATGTGACTTCTCAAACAGACCCTTAGCCCCCGTTTGGCCATAGATTTTGCTAAGTTTTTTTCAAAAACGTTTTTGCAAAACATGCTTATTTATAGATTTTATTCAGCTTTAACAAATTTTGAAAATAAATTCCCAAAGCACAAAACCAACTCTTGACATATTTTGGCCCAAAATATCATTGTTGGATTATTTTTTTTTTACAATTTCAAAAATTATCCCAAATTTTTATATTTTATAAAACAGTTCATCATCTATTATGACAAAACTAACCACCAACTAATTACCATCATTTTATTTTGGATTGATGGATCTTTTAATATTATTATAATTTGACAAATTATAGTACCTAGTAATTGTGTTATTAGCAGTTGATATCCAAAATATCAGTATGGTTTTGGAATAGTGTATTATGTAGTTCATTATAAAAATGATAATTTTGTGCCAAACTTATTTATTTTCAGGACTATGGTTTGTGATAATGATAATGAATGCATCGATAAAGGTTTTGCATATACAAGATTAGCAAGTTTGTTTGTTTGGTACAGTTGGGTATTTTTGATAGTTTTTAGAACTTATGGATATAAGTCACATGTCATGTTTTTTTTAAAAAAAATATGTTTAAAAAATTATGTCCAAACAAATTTTCATCTTCAAACCAAACTTCACTCAAATAAAAATTTTCAAGATAAATTTGGAAATCTTTGGTCAGGCGCTAGCTTAGTTTACAGCTTTCGCAATTAGTCTGTCCATTACTTGGTAGGCTTTTTCATAAACATGCATAGTGTATCTTAATTATTATTTTTTTCTACGCTAATTAATGATGGTTATAAGTTAACACATGTTTTCGTGTTTTCACCGCGTCAAAACTTTTTTCCCCTGATCTCCATGTTTTATAATACTGAAAAATGTGAAAGTACTATAATGTCTAGAACAATGAAACTTAACATGGTGAAATTAAATAAGCGTGCTGTCATGAGAAATTGGTAGGGGCCGCAAAAATTGATTAGGAGGAACAGGATTAATTCTTTATAACATTGTTTGCATAAGCAGAAACAATGTTTATTTAAGAAAATTTTAGTGTGTTTTAAATGTTAATGATTAAATTATGTCTTACAACATTTTTTACAGAAATATGAAAAATATCTTTAGGAAATTTGAATATGAGATTTTTAATTACTTGCAAAAGTATTGACGATAAACTCAGTCAAGTTGCACTTTTTCATATATCTAACAAAGGGAAGGGGAATTACTGACTCACATATATGACTTTTATCTATCTGTTGTTTCGGATGGTTAATGACACACATCAGCTGTCATGAGGAGTTTGTACGGTTGAAATTTGAAAAAAGATTTTTTTTTTAATGAGATAAAAAATAATTTTTAAAAATTAAAATTATGTTTGAACATGTATTTTAATCGGAAAAAAATTGAAATATTATGAGTGTATATTGAGATACATACTAGTTGTACATAGACTACTAAGCTGAGAGACCTATGTGTAAAGATTAGAAAGTTTTGTCCTTAAGAGAAAAGTTGTTAAGACAGTTAGAAGTGGGTTGTTATAAAAGGCCCACCCTCACATGTATTTGTCTTCTTCTTAAGAGGATAACAGAGCTTCTTCTTCATCTCATTTCCTCTCTCTATCTCTACTGTAAATTCTCACTCAGATTCACTTGCATGTTGTATTATTGTGTGGATTCAATCGATTTTATCATGGTATCAGAGCGCGATCGTGAATTCATCGAGATTCAGAAAAAATATAAAAGATCGGAGCTCCAACGAAGTTGAATTTCAGTCAGCCATGGCGGGAAATGAAGTTGATTCTCTAGCTCACAAGCATCCGTTATTTCTACAACCCTCAGTTGCTCAAGGACTCGTCCTAATACCACTCAAACTCATAAGGCTAGATAACTATGCTCTGTGGAGTAGAGCGATGAAACTGGCGCTCCGGGGAAAAGTAAGCTAGGGTTTGTGGACGGAACTTGTGTGAAGAGTATGTACAAAGGAGAATTAGCAGAACAATGGGGAAAATGTAATGCGATCGTGTTGTCATGGATTGGGTCATTGGGAGCACTGTATCGAGTGAATTGATATCGAGTATCGTCTATGCCTCTAATGCAAGGAAAGTGTGGAATGATTTTCAGGAGAGATTTGATCGATCAGATTTGACGAGGATTTATCACCTTTGGACAGCTATCGCAACCCTAATGCAATGTACTGACTCTGTTACTGGCTATTTTTCAAAAATGAAGGACTTGTGGGATGAATTAGATGTGTTAGTACCACTGTCTTCGTGTGACTGTGAAGAATCTCGACCCTCAGTGGAACATCTATGATCTCAACTTTTGCTGCAATTTCTTATGAGGCTAAATGAAAGTTATAGCAACATAATGAGCAATGTATTAGCTAAAAAGCGTGTTGTGATTATTAATGAAGCCTATGCCATAGTGACACAAGAGGAAAGTCAGAGGTCTTTAGGTGTTGTTGATACACATAGAGAATCACTCACCGTGTTAGCAGGGAAAGGCCATGACTTTAGAGCAAGAAAGCCCGAAGTCATTTGTGAACATTGTGGATATAAAGGATATCTTAAGGAGAATTGCTTCAAAATAATTGGATATCCAGCTGAATTTAAGAACGAAAGGAAGAATTAGCCTGCAGGAGGAAAGATATATGCTAACAATGTGAATATGAATGCAAATAGTGAGGAAGGGAAACCAATGAATGTGCAGATACAAGGAGCGGGACAGTTTTTCATAGAAGAACAGTATCAACAGCTGGTGAGGTTGCTATCAAAACCAACAACTAAAGAAATTTCTAATAATTTTGCAGGTATAGTCTCTCTGTTATCTGATGCAGGTATGTGTGATTGGGTAATAGATACAGGGGCAACACATCATGTTACACACTGTAAGAATATTCTAAACAATATTAAAAGGGCATATGACCAAGGGAAACATGGAGTACAACTTCCTACTGGAAGTAAATCTCAAATAACTCACACAAGAGAGGCCTCCATATTAGGCAATAAGACAGTAACAAATGTCTTCTATGTGTCAGATTTTAAATTTAACCTATTGTCAGTATCTAAACTCACAAAGGATCTCTATTGCTCGGCCACATTCTTCCCTGATTTGTGTACATTTCAGGATCTCTGCAGTGGCAGCGTGATGGGGATTGGTAGAGAGAACAATGGTTTGTACTTGCTTAAGTAGAACATAACAGCGGCAGCTACAAGAGTTTTCCTGAGAAAGGGAGAAGAAATTGAACTTTGGCATTTAAGGTGAAGGACCTAGGAGAACTTCGTTACTTCCTTGGCATAGAAATTCTGAGATCAAAGGAAGGGATACTGCTCACTCAAAGAAAGTATGCTTTGCAATTGATCTCGGAAGCTGGACTTGCAGCAGCCAAACCAATCTCTACTCCCATTGAATTGAATCAGATATTGACTACCATCGACTATGACAAGCATGTAGGAGTCAAGGGGTATGAAGAACTGGAAGACATTGTAAGCTATCAAAGACTTATTGGGAAGTTACTCTACCTAACCATTACTAGACCAGATCTTAGCTTTGCAGTTCAAGTACTTAGCCAATTTATTCAACACCCCAAACAATCCTATTGGGATGCATCATTGTGTGTGGTTAGATATGTGAAATCAGCTCCAGGGTTTGGAATTTTGCTAAGCACTGGTCCTATCAACTACATATCTGCCTATTGTGATTCTAATTGGGCGTCCTGCCTAAATACTAGGAGATCAGTCATAAGATATATCATCAAATTGGGTGATTCTCTACTTTTCTGGAAGTGCATGAAACAACAAACTGTGAGTCGAAGTTCAGCATAGGCTGAATACATGAGTCTAGCAGCAGAAATTACATGGTTTCTAGGGCTGTTGAAAGAGCTTCAAGTCCATGTCTATCAACCAGTTCCCCTGCATTGTGACAATAAGGCTGCTTTACAAGTAGCAGCCAATCCCATCTTTCATGAAAGAACTAACCACATTGAAATGGATTGCCATTTTGTTCGAGAAAAAAATCAAGACTGGACAATTGGCACCACAATATATTTCTACCAGTCTACAATTGGCTGACCTTATGACCAAGGGTCTAGGATCAGCACATCATCATTTTCTCTTGTCCAAGCTTGGTATGCTTGATGTATTTCACCCATCAACTTGAAGGGGAGTATTGAGATGCATACTAGTTGTACATAGACTAAGCTGAGGGACCCGTGTGTAAAGATTAGAAAGTTTTGTCCTTAAGGGAAAAACTGTTAAGGCAGTTAGAGGTGGGCTGTTATAAAAGGCCCACCCTCACGTGTATTTGTCTTCTTCCTAAGAGAATAACAGAGCTTCTTCATCTCATTTCCTCTCTCTATCTCTACTGTAAATTCTCACTCAGATTCACTTGCATGTTGTATTATTGTGTGGATTCAATCGATTTTATCAGTGTAAAAATTTGTAAAACTAGTAGAAATCATTTTTTTAGAATTTAAAAAACTCATCACAAAAAACTATCGAAAATTTATCACTATTTATAGCCAAAAAGTATTTTTATAATATTTTTGAAAAAAAAAGTGAAAAAAACCAATGATCAAACGGAAGGTAGTAGTACAAAATTAGAGCCCGTTTGGACATACAAATTTTTTCCTTTTTTTCAAATTGTTTTTGAAAACAATGTTTGGTTGTCCCATTCTTACCAATTTTTTCTTTTTCACTTGAAAATCCTTTTTCAATTGAAAATGGGAATTTGCTAGTGTTTAGTTTTACAAATTTACCTAATATTTTTAAAATTTATAAAACGACCCCATCAATTTTTCATCTTTGGCAGATACATCTTTGACGACTGATGGTGGAACATCAGTCCTAATTGATACTGAACTCTGCCTACTGGAAATTTGATTATATGGTTATGAGAAATATGTGGCTACGCCTGCTTTGGCACTTTCTCTGTGTGTTAGTAGAATTAGAAAATGTGATATTGATTTTGCATCTTCTGTGTATTGCAGTAAAGCAGAATATGATAACATTTAAACACTAGCATTTTGATTGTTTATTTCAAATAGGATAATTAAATTGGGGTGGTTTTGATATTTTTGACAAATTATGGGGTATAAATCATGTTTTATAATTTTGAATAAAAAGACATTCAAATATATTGCAAAAATTATAACCAAACACAACTTCATTTTCGGTTCAAATTTTAGTGAAATTCCAAAGTTGATTTTTTTTCTTTCCGAAATTCATATCCAAACGCCTGCTTAGAATCACGATCTTACATTTGATTCCTTAATTTTCGTCGGTCTTTACTCTTTACAGACAAATATATGAGATAATTGTGAAAGCAAGCATCATTCTTTGACAAGTAGTACAATGAAATATGGTACGGATCCAAAATTTAAAGTTAACGGAATCCTACAACTATTTTAAAGTTAATATACAATAGTTTATGAATTTATAATATAATATTTAATAAATTTCTTAGTATATATATATAAGATACGGACAAAAACTATGGGTTACGCTGAACCCGATCTTCATTCTTTGGATCACCCGGTAGTACTAACTTGTAATCTAAACTGCATCTTCCCAACTTACGTGCTGATCTGTTTGTTTTATTTGCAACAATTACAAGTTGTACAAAATCTAGAAGGCTAAAAACTTATCTAAATAACGGTGTATATTTATCTACATATTAATTTCTATTACTTATTTTTTATTAAATAACATATATGATCATCTCATCAACTTTTATATATACTCCCAGTTACTGTTTCCACGTAGCTTGATAAAAGGGTGCCAAGTAGCTACAAAAGAAGAAAGTCGTAGTACTCCATTTATTTCACCAACTACATGTACAATCCATATTTAATTCAATTTTTATTTATTTTCTTCCATACAAAATTGCAAACGGTACCAACTTTAATAATTTGAAATTTAAACAGAATGTTCTATCATTATTGCAGTAACAACTCCGGCCTACATAATTTTGAAGTGGGAAAAAAAAAAGAGAAAAGGCGAGGACTATTATGTCATTTGAATGTCCCTATTTGGTGCATAGCACTAATAAAGAAAAAAATAAAGGACTCAGCGCGAAAAGTAAAGGAAAGAAGAAGCAAATGGGTCAAAGACAAGGTAGAGTTCTCGAGAAAGCCAAAACTCACCCACCTCCCCCCTAACAAAACCCATTAATTATTTTTCACCCCCTCTGATTTTTTTTCTCTTTCCTTATCAATTTCTCACTTCCCAAAAAATTAAAATTCACAACACCCTAGAAATAATAATAAAAGGAAAACAGAAAAGAGAAAGGAAAAAAAAGGGAGAGAGGGGCTCTCTCTTTCTCTCTACTTTCCTTCACCCAAACAGACCACAAACAGTAGAGAGAGAAGTTGAGTTTTTAGAGAGAGAAAGTTAGAGCTTCTGATCCTCATCTCTTCCATGGCTTTATTCTAGTCCTCTCTTTATATCCCTTAATATTTATTTTTCATCTCCAAAAGGAAAAAAAATCTTTTTTTTTGAACCATTGGGTCGACCATGCGGAGAGGTACAGCAGCGGCGGCACCGGCACCGGTGGCCGGAGAACCAAACGGATCTGGAGGATCTAAAGAGATAAGGTTTCGTGGAGTCCGAAAAAGACCATGGGGAAGATTTGCGGCGGAGATCAGAGACCCTTGGAAGAAAACTAGGGTTTGGTTAGGTACTTTCGATTCTGCTGAGGATGCCGCGCGTGCTTATGACGCCGCAGCGCGTGCACTTCGCGGTCCTAAAGCCAAAACTAATTTCCCTTTACCTTATGCTCATCATCACCAGTTCAATCAAGGGCTTAACCCTAATAACGATCCGTTTGTGGATTCACGATTTTACCCTCAGGATAATCCGATTATTTCGCAGAGACCTACCTCGAGCTCCATGAGTAGTACGGTGGAGTCCTTCAGTGGACCACGACCGCCGCCGGCGCCGCGGCAGCAGACAACGGCGTCTTACAGAAAGTATCCGCGGTCGCCGCCCGTCGTGCCGGACGATTGCCATAGCGACTGTGACTCGTCGTCTTCCGTCGTTGACGACGGCGACTGTGAAAAAGAAAATGACAATGACAACGACAACATAGCTTCTTCGTCTTTCAGAAAGCCGTTGCTTTTCGATCTAAACTTACCTCCGCCGATGGATGACGCCGGCGCCGACGATCTTCACTGCACAGCTCTATGTCTTTGACGAAATGATGGTTTTATCTACCTGTCATTTAAACCATTGGCTTACCTAGTTTTTTTTAATTTCTTTTTTTTTTTGGGTGGCGGAGGAAAGCATGTGGGATAAGAAAAAAAAAAAAGAGAACCATAGAGTTATGGCTAAATTATGTCTGCTATGAGTCATCATCTGTTGTTGGAAGAGAATTCACTTGTTTAATTTACTTCTCATATTTTATATCATGGGATTTCATGTTGGATTGATGGACCAGTGTGTATGTCAAATTAGTTCTTATTGCGTGTTTTAAACTCCTATGTTTGGGTTGAAATAGTATTTATTTATATATTGACATGCAAGATTAGAAGGAAATTTGGGATCTTTCTGTGCTGTTATTATATGTGTATGATGTTATCTATTCCCCTTTCGGCTTATGTAACAAGTGAGACTTCATATGATCAAATATTAGTATTCGTGGTTACTTGTTCTATATTCTTCATATAATGCTTATTTTTCTATATGGATGTATTTTCTTTGCCTTGAACACCTATAGTACTTTTGAAGTGTTGAATTTTACTAACACTGAGATGGAAATTGACTATTACCAGTTCCCCTGCTATTTGTTATAATGTGAAGTTTTTTATATTCATTTAGTTTCATCTGGGAGCAGCTGTGTGAGTGTAGTGATGGTTATTTGATGGAGTGGGATCAAAAGATCATATCAACTATAATCTGAAGCTGGAGTATCGATGATTGGAATTTTCGGTTTAATTTTGTTTTCTAGCTATGCATGAATATGAATTAACTGCTGCTTTTACCTGAATATGTACAGCATTTTTTTTGATATAAGCATTTGAAGCATTAGTAGTTGTAGTAAGACTGGGTTCTGATGCAGATGGTGTTCAGCTTGTAATGTATTCTAACTTGCTTGCAATTGTAATTGGTGTGAGTATTTTGCATTATACTCTATATGGTTACACAGAGACTTTTCCTGTGCATGGTTTTCTGTGGTAGCTGCTCGGAACCTGCTTGGACTCTTTAGCTCATGTCATTAATACGTAATTATGGAGATCCCTTTTTGTTTATCTTGATGTCTATATTTACACTTAAATTGTTCTTATAGTTCTTATTAATGCAGCTACTCACGCCATGCAATAGCTTTTAACTCACTTTGTATATTCTCTCAGATGAACTGTGGTGGATTCTGTTATCTCTTCTTGTGTGTCATGCTTGAATTCTTCTTGTGTGTCATGCTTGAATTCTTCAGATCATGTCATTAATATGTAATTTAGAGATTCTTTTTTGTTAGCGTCAGAGTTAATATTGTTCTATAGTTCTCATTAATGGAGCTACTTGCGAAGTATACGTGTTTGTAAATGTGAATGCCGTATGGCATGCCATGCAAATATTTCAGAAGATCTAATGGATTCTGTTTCTAGCTTATGCCCTGTAACTTGTTGTATCTTCTTATGTGTTATGCTTGAATTCTTCCGATCATGTCATTAGTACGTAATTATGTAGATACCTTGTTGTAGGTTGATGTGTTAGTTTCCTTAATATTGTCCTTAATAGTTCTCGTTAATTAATGTAGCTACTCGCAATATATACATGTTTCTATCTGTGAATGTTGTATGGCTTTCCATGCATAGGCAAAGGATTTCATTCACGTTGTAAGCAAATTTCATAAACAAATTCTCTAATAAATTATGTATCTCGTGTCCTGTAACTAATTATCTCTTCTCGGGTGTCATGCTTGAATTCTTTAGATTCAGAGAATCCCTTTTAATTAGCTTGACGTCTGTAGTTACCTTAATATTGTCTTGTACTTCTCATTAAAGCAGCTGCTTGTGAAGTATGCGTGTTTGTATTTGTGAATGGTGTATGGGATGGCTTTTCATTGACATAGTGAGCAACTAGCACTGAAAAGAAGTGTTCTCTATTAAATTCTGTTACATTCTTATGTCCTGTAACTTGTTATCTCTTCTCTGGTCTTACGTAGAGTAATCTCCGTATTGTAGTCTTGATCCATCTTGGAGAGGAACCCAGAATCTCTAGCATTGGTTAAGGGTAAGAAACATACTAGTTGCCCATGTTTGATTTGGATGTTAGTGATGGCGTATAAGGTCAACTATATAACAGTGGTGGTATCCGAACCACCTTGCGCATACTTGGACTATTTCACTAGTTATTTACTTTCTCCATTCCAATTTATGTGAACCTGTTGAAATTTTTTATTTTGTGTCTCACACAACTAACAATAGTTGTGTGAGGCTTCTTTTTTGTCTCACAACTGTGTGGTCCCAGAATTTTGTGGACCCAGATGTGTAAGAGATGGGTCCACAAATATGTGAGATAAAAAGAGGACACAAAAAAAAATCACTCGAACCTGTTTGATTGGACACGAAATTTAAGAAAAAATAAAACTTTTTGAATTTGTGGTCCTAGACAAGTGAAAAAGGGGTTCAGAGTATTTGTGTGGTTATAAAAGCTTCTCATTAAGTTTAAGCTAAATTGTTTCAAATTTAAAAAGTGATTATTCTTTATTAAACGGATCAAAAAGGAAATAGGTTCACATAAATTGAAACGAAGGGAGTAATTCCTATACCAGTATAGTAACTTTGTCCATCAAACTTTAGATGAGTAGGTCAATTACATGATAGCGATATGGAGTAATATATTAGCCAGACTGGTGTTGCATTGAAGTTTATCGTCCTTGTTAGAAAATTGAGCAGAAACTTTGTAGTAGTCAGTAGGTTTCTTAATTTGTTCATTCATGTGCATGTTGATTTTCGGGAGTGCACAGTGGACATATCCAACAAATGAAATACTTGTTTAGGGTTCCTCCGCATCAGATCATTAGATGCAAATCAAGGCAAAAATAACGAAGAAGGAAAGTGAAGTCGCTAATCAGATATGTCCTCTTAGATTGAAATGGAACACCTCTCCCCATGGAGAAATTTGCTTTTACTTTAGAAGGAAAATCACTTAGCAGATTCTTAGACATGGAACCTCTTCCCTTATTTACGGGCTTTTGCTATGAAGCATCAAAAGTTCAGAACCCACTGGTGCAATTGCCCAATGGTTAGTAGGCCAGCTCCTGTAAACTGAAACTACACTTGAAAAATTATAAGCAGATTTGCAGATAGGGGCGGATTTAGGGGGCAAAAGGGGTTAATCCGAACCCCCTTCGCCGAAAAATTACATTATATATATATAGGGAAAAATTTGGTTTTTACCTCTATATATTAAGTTTTGAATCCCCTTAACACAACCCAAAAGTGTAGTTTAGTGGTCAAGGGGTTCAAAACCTTCATAAGGTCATAGGTTCAATTCCAACTAGCTACAAATTTTTTGTTTGAACCCCCTTCGTGGAGATCCTGCTTCCGCCACGGTTTGCATAGATGACACAAAGTTCCGTATGTAGGACCTCATTTCCTTTTCAAAGCCATGCGCTACAGTTTCGCTTCCGTATTAGCCCAAATCTTGTATTTATATTAAAATGATTACTATAAAAATTTATTTGAACACAGTAAACTGTCTTTTTTTTTTTTAAATCAGAACTCATAAACTCAACATTCTAACTCTGACTAAATCTACCTGCACAAGCGTTTTCCCCCCCCCCCCCCCCCCCCCCCCCTCCTTGTGAAGGTTTAACCCTTTCTCA